GGGGTAATTGGTACAATTCTTCTTCCTCTGACCTGCAACTCCACAGAAGAAACAACCACTCTTAGTTGGTTCTTTATGCTATTTCTTTTGTGATGTTGTACCAATAGCTTCCTTATCAATTTTCCTTTCTTGTTCCCTTTGTCCTTCGAGGTGGTGACCAAATGAGTATTTTCTGTCTTCTCATGTTTCAATCTCTCTACTTCCTGGACATAGTGTGAAATAAGCTCATTAAGGGACCATGAATCCTTTTAACAGTTGTAGCTCACCTTGAATTGATTGAAATGTGCTGGAAGGGATATCAGAACAAAGTGCACCAACAAGCCTTCTAGAAAAATCCAACTTGAGTGCCCTTAATTTTGAAGCAATGTGAAACATTTTCATAATATATTCCTGAATGTTTCATTTCCCTTTATACCTCATCAAGACAAGGTTCGTCAAAAGTGTACTTGTTTCAACATTTTTATTCTTGGCAAACCTCTTCTCAAGATCCTCAAGGAAACCCTTAGTCGTAGTCACCTTATCGAACATAGTGTCCCGAAATGCTTTTGGAATAACACACTTCATGACCATTAAGCTTATATGGTTCGATCGTTCCCATTTTTCCATCTTCATCTTATCATCAGAGGTACTCTTATCAGTAAGTGCAGCAGGTTGATCAACTCGTAAAACAAGGTCCAGGTCCATGACTCCGAGAACAATCATTACGTTCTCTTGCCACGCCCTGAAGTTTCTGCCATTTAACATTGGAATTGAATTTTTGCTAGCAGAGATATTAGCAGCACAACCTAAAACTCAATTAGAGAACAATTATTATGGATAGCTCACCTGATCTTTAATATGCAAATAATAATAATCTCAAATAGTGGTACAGCCATCACAAGATACCCAGCATAATATCAATATTTAGTATTTGGACAGAAATATTGACTTGTAAGTAGTACTCTTGACGTAGTGATTAAACATTGACGATAAAACTATGGGGTAATTAGCATAAAACGTCCCTACCTTTCATGATTTTTGTGGAAAACGTCCCTACATTTCGTTTTTTGGCGTATTTCATTCCTACCTTTACCTTTTCTTGTGGAAAACATATTTTTCATCATTTTTCTCAATAAAAAATTATAAAATGACTAATATACTATTCTATTTAAATAAAAAAATAAATAAAGAACTAATTGCAATCATAATTAATGATTTCATCGCCTGAAGTTCGTGTTTTTGTGATTAATTACGAGCCCAAGGACGTTTCCTTGTCGGGAATCTATAAAACAAGCACAGAACCAAATAATATCCAATCTTGTTCCATTAGCCAAGGACTTCATCAGTGGCAGTGGCAGGTGCCAAAAGGAACAATAGGATTGTGTTACACCTTATTTAAATAGAAAACTTTTTTCTGATGGTTTGTCGCAATTTTTTAAATGGGGAAAGTTTCTACATCAAAAAATCAAAACCCTCTACGCATGAAAATGATTTCTAGAGATTCAACTTAAAAATAGATTTCCGACAGTTAAGCGACAAGAAAACATACTAAAATTTGAGAAGACTAACCTTCTCCAGCATTGAATATAAAATAGGGTACTAAACGATAAGCAGGTTGGACAATCTTTAGAAGATCCCTGGTCTGGATCATATAACATTATCATAATTAATTGAAAATAAACATATCATTAGCTCTTTCAAAAATCTCGTACATCAGGAGTAATAATTGAAACCTAGTGCTCCAATTTATGAAATACAAACTCGTGTTAATAGACTTCGTTAACATAGGCATAATTATAAACAATCACAATTAACACATACCTTATCACAAATAGTCACAATTAACATACACTTGGTCATAAAAAGTAACAGTTATCACAAATTTGATCACAAACAGTCATTGTTAACACAAAACTGGTCACAAGCATTATAGAAAACACATTCAAAGGTCACATTCATGTTAAAATTTTATAAAATACGAACTCCCATTAAAAACCATGATCTACAATATATCTTATTCGAATAATATTTGAATTCAACAAATTCTATGATACACAAACATTTTAATAAACCTAATGAATTTATCAGCAAAAAGAATATCCCGACGTTATTACAAAAAAATGTTGAACTATCTCTTTATGGTTAAGTGGCTCTTGCAATTAAGACCAGATACACTGCACTTTCCATATTTCACAACTTGTGACCTCTCACATAATGACTTCATCCTCTTTTCAATATGATGTTCAGAACCTCTCTTTCGATTAGAAGCAAGTACAAATCTAATGGTTACAATCAAAAATTATAAATTGTTAATCCATATTAGATTTTTTTCAGCATAAATTTAACAAACGGATAGAAATTAACGTTTTCATAAGAGGTACCTCCAAGAGTTGCGACGAACGAAACATACCTAGACAAAAATTATTCCTATTAATTGTGTGAATATCAAATCCATTACATTCATTACCCATAGTTGAAATCAATGTTTGGTAAATTCTAGACAAAAAAATCCCTTCGTTTTATCAAAAATCTGCTTTTAATTGAAAAAATGGTTTATCTCGAACACTATTAGAACTGTCATTGAAAACAATAATTTGCAGATGAGAGATGAAGTCGTTCAATTTGTGGCCAAATTCACAGTCCAGTGAGTTCAATTTTTAGTGATAAAGATGAAGTTTTTCAATTTCTTTTGGGCTAATTGGATGTGAGAGAATATTGGTGAAAAAAATAATTCATGGACTTTACTTTTGAAAGTAATAAGGCGAGAGAAAATATACATAATTATCCTAAATTAACTCATAATTCAAGTCTCAATATTTTCTAAAATACATATAATTTTTAGGAAAGATAAATATGAAATATGACCTGATTTTTGAAATTTTTTTTACAAGTTTGATATTTTTGAAATTATATTTTTGATATATGGTAGATATAAATCTTTCCCTTTTTTATTGAAGGGTCTATTTACATTTACATTGACTTATTTCCTTTTCCTCTGGAATTTAGTGCTAGCTCTCTAATTTTTTTAATAAGGTTTCGTTTGTTTCCCATTAATGTAAGAATGATAATGAAAAATATAATCGTCATGGACCCCATACAAGAGATAGAGTTCTAATACGATGACTTGATGCAATAGATAATGATCATATTTTTTATTTTAACGGCCAAATAATGGGAAATAAACAGGGGCTAAGTAGTGCTTTCAGTTTATAATTGTCAAAAGTGAGGTTACAAGTCCCTAACCTATTTATAAATGTAAATATGAGTCTCCATGTTATAAAAATTATCAATGTAAATGTTACAATTATATACAACTTTCACGTGACTTAAAATCGTCAAACCACTTTAAGTTGCTATCGATTTTAATGTTCACATAAATTTTTGTTAAGCAGAAATTCAGATTCATAGATTTAAATAATTAGAAATTCATAATCTCATTTTTTCAAGGCTTGGATCCCAAAAGACACTATCTGAATGATTATCAAATTGTTTGAAAATCTAGCCTTAATTTGTTGAAAAACTCGAATTGAATTATAATAAGTTCTAATTTGAAGAGTGAGGCTTCAACTAAACCCATATATAGGGATGGAAATGGGCAGATATGTGACTGGTCGATTATTTCCATCCCTTGCCCTGTCACATATTTTTGTTACCTTGCCCCACCCCCATATCCAGTTAAAGTGGGATGGGGCGAGGCAGGTTACTTCCCCGTTTATTTTGTTTAATTTTAATTTTTTGCATTTTTTATTTCTTTAGTTAATGATTTATTATTAGATTTTTTTTTTTCAATTTTTTTAAGAATAACTCATGTTCTCTTTAAAAATGATTATAAAATTTTTCTTTTTGTTTGATTAAAAATTAAATTTGAATTTAATTTTAAATGATGTGGGTAGCTGGATGTGACCAAGTTTTCCATACTTATTTCGTTCACGCTTTGAGGCAACAACACCCTATCCCCCCCCCCCCCCCCCACTCCCCCTCCCCCCCCCCCCCCCCCCCCCATTTACCCAATTAGGCAGGTAATCCTTGTCCCATTTAGAGCAGTACCCCGCGACTTGGGGGCTTTTTTTTTTTTTTGCCATCCCTATCAGTAGAATCTATGCTTTAAGAATTTTAGATAAATCAAGAATATTGAATAGTATTTTGTTCTAAAGCAGGAAAAGGTAGAATATTATTTATAATAGATTGCCTATCAAAATACAAGGTAATAGAAATTTACGATGATGATGTAGGAGTTCGTCCATTCTAATTCTATCTAATTAAAATATTTAAATTGTTATTGATGACAAAATTTATTTTGTGAAAGATAAGGAATTCATATTCTCTAAGAGCATCTAACTTGATTGTTACTAAGAATGTCAACAAAGCGTGACTTGCTTAAAATATTCTCATTTCCAATCTCATCCTCTCTATTATTTACCTTATTAATATTATTTTTATTTTAAAAAAATTAAAAAATTAAAAGTAAATTAAAAATTACAACTAAGAGTTGGGGTAGGGATCATATTCCGTATCCACGCGAAACGTTATTTCATCTCTAATCAGTTTTTAAGCCATTAATTACTAGTCAATTCGAAATTGTTTATAAAATATATTGTCATGAAAATAAAGTAAAAGTTAATTTCATAAAATTAAAACTTACCTATGAGTAATTTTAAGTTTTGACAATACACAAATGAAGAAAGACAATGGGATGATCTTCTTCACACATCCTCTTATCTTTTTCGTGCATTCATCGTTCAAGATCGTGAATTAAATAACCGGCAATATGAGCTCGAAAGTGTCGTGATTTAAATAGTAATCTTACTCGATCGCAACTTAAAAATAATTTTTAATGATTCCACGGGTACTGAGAATTATTGATAGAAATGATACAAGAGTTGCATTAGCAGCATTTGGACCGTGATATCTCTTTGTATCAAAAACCAATGAAAAAATGTAAAGTATCTTTTTATAAGAATTTTGTCACTTTTTTTTGTATTTGTAGCAAAACTAAGTAATTTTGGGATTTCGCCATAGTGACAAAGGACGAAACGCAAAGTGAGCAATGGCATTATGCCATTCTCATCCCCTCTAAAGGTGACGGAGCAGCCCGAATCGAATCTTCTCTTCAAAACAGCAAATCTTCAACGGCTAAGATTCGATACGATAATACACAACAACATCAATCCAACGGTTGATATCATACACACTCCCCTACTGAAAACTTGGAACCAAGATTTGATTTCAGTCCCAGCAATTCCTAAAGCTGAAACTGCGAACCCAGAGAGAAAAATGGCATCCCAATCTTCATCTTCAGAGAAGGGAAAGGGTAAGGAAAAGGAAAAGGAAGAGGAAGTGGAAGAGGAAAATGAGAAATCTGTTGAGGGAGTAAAAGAGAAGGTAAAAAAAAAGGGATTGGGGTGGATGGAGTGGCTGAGGGGGTGGATGTATATAATCTACGAGATGCTGTTCCAGAGGATCTCAGCTAGCCATTTGCAGAACCCAATGCCTCTCCCTCCCATTAATGACCTCACCTGCATCGTCACAGGCTCTACTTCTGGCATCGGCAAAGAAATTGCCCGGTCTGTATACTGTATTTTTCTTGTATTTTCAGTTTGTTGTTTTGCATTTTGGGTTCTTAATTCAGTAATTTATTTATTGGATTCGTATGGATTGCATTAGGAGAGATTTAAACTGTGCAATTTGATTATCAAAATAAGAGGTGCTTCGTCTTATGTTGCTTAAATTCAGTGAATGAATTCTGATTTTCATTTACAGTAAATATGGATACAACTCCATGTATTTGAAAATAGTGTAGGCTAAACAAGGATATTTATAATTACAATGGAGATAATCTTGGTCTACACCTAGGATTGAGTTGATTTCAGTTTACACCTAAGATTACCGGGAATGCTCCCCCTCAAGTTGGAGCATGGATATCCTTAATGCCCAACTTGTGAAGGGAATGATGAAATAGGTCTTTCCCAAGGGCTTTCGTGAAAAATTCAGCTGTTTGGTCCTTGGTGGAGATATGTATCAAAATTACGAGACCGGAGCGGAACTTTTCATGCACATAGTGACAATCAATTTCGATATGCTTTGTTTGCTCATGGAAGATTGGATTGCGGGTAATTTGAAGTGCAGCTTGATTGTCACAATATAGGATGATGTACGTGGGATATAGGACGGTAAGATCAAAAACAAGTTCAAATGTAGTGGAGGCCATAGAACGATATTTGGCCTCGGCAAAAGAGCGAGAGACAACTATCTGTTTCTTTGTGCACCAAGAAATGTAGTGAGTAGTATGACAAACTAGCCCAATTAGAATCAAAGTAAGTGAAAATCTGAAAATCACAAGTGGATGAAAACCATGACCAGGAGAACATTTCAGATAGCGAAGCACATGTAAAGCAGCCTCATAATGTGGTTCCTGGGAGCCTGCATGAACTGGTTCAATATGTTAACAGAGAATGATATGTCTGAGCGAGTGATAGTTAAATGAATGAGACCTCTCAACCATCATCTGTAAAGTCTAGGATCAGGGACTAAGGCTCCATCTTCAGGAGTGAACTTCAGATGCTGTTCCATGGGTGAGATCCCAATCTACCCGAGTCAGCTAGGATGTCCAAGGCATATTTTAGTTGGGTGAGAAAAATCTCCGAAAGGGGAATGCGCCACCACAACACCAAGAAAATACTTCAGGTTCCCCAAATCATAACCGGCTTCATTGTTTAAATTAATATTCTTAGTTGTTATTTGATTAGCACTACCAAACCAGGGTGATGTTTAGTTTTCAATAGAACCATGCCGTTAAATCATCAATTGCAGCTTTGTGATAATTTAATTGTAAGTAGTATATGTTAAGGGTAAAATCCAATCCATATTCTAATACAAAATCATGATCACTTATATGTGTATAACACAACCTCTTAACAAGTTTGACATTTTAAGATGGAATTTCAATACGCGAAAGAATTTTTAGTAAGTAGGAAATTTTACAATTAATTTTTCGTGCCTTAAACTTGTATTGTGTCTGAGTTTTATAGTAATAATTCTAAATTTTCAGTGCTATTTAATTATAAATATTTGTGATTGTTTTCATACTTCAAATTTTAGTGCAAATAAAGCACACCAGTGATCTTTATTTTCTTCTCTGAAATACATTTTTTTTTTTCATTTTTGAACAGGCAATTGGCAGAATCAGGGGCACATATTATTATGGCTGTCAGAAATCCAAAAGCAGCTAATGATTTGATAAAGAAGTGGCAGGAGGAATGGTCAGGAAGGGGCCTTCCTCTTAATATTGAGGTAGAATATAAGAATGCTGAGCTTTGCTTCTAAAAAAGAAATGTGTTTAAAAACATAACAGGAACACTAAGATTTCCTATCATGTGATACAAATCACCACGCATTTCATGGGGTCCATAACTTTTCAATCACACATTCCATCAACTTCTATTAAAATCTACTAATAGTATGATTTTTATATAAACCAACTACGGGCTTAATAGCACCAATATTCTGTAATTTTACTTTGCCTGCAAGTTTCACTTTTGATATTAAGATTAGTAAGAAAGCCAACTTCTAAAATTGTGACTGTTTATAGGTGATGGAACTAGATCTTCTCTCTCTGGATTCTGTTGTGAGATTTGCTGAAGCTTGGAATGCACGTACAGGGCCTCTGCATGTTCTCATCAATAATGCCGGAATATTTTCCATAGGAGGTCTTTATGTGAAAATCTAATTTACCAATTCTACTTATCTAATGTTTTTCTCCTTATTGGTCAAGTGAATAGTGAAGTCCTATGTCCATGATGGTGGTATTAAGTTGCTGATTGCTCATATCCCTTACCGTATATGGTTCATTTTCTTTTAGCAAGCATACTTCTGAAACCTATTAGTTGCTTCAAGAAAAATTGAGGCATTTTGCAGAAGTAGTGTGGTTGATGTTTCTTTATACTTTGTTAAATTTCTTTTGCTTGCATCTTAATTAACAAAGTATATGAATAGATTTTATTTCCAGGCAACTTTTTGTGTTCAGATAGCGCATACCAGTTGTAATTACATTCAACCCAGGACTGCAGCTACATAATATTTTTAATAAAACTTGTCATGGTTGTACATCCCAGAAACATCATTTTGTGCATACTTTCTTGACAGAGTATTATATTTTCTTGATTCTCAAAGAACTCTACAGTAGATATGAAAGTAAGGTCTGATGACAGTTGGATGTCGACGTATCGGTTTGACTTCTCTTGCTAGAAATAGTCTGGAATAATTGGTCCGTAAAATAACTGAACTACGCAAATCAAAATTAAATATTTATTTTCATTATATTTCTTTTGCAGGTGCTTAACAGAGATCAAAATTATCGGGAGACTCATATCTGTTAAAAGAAAGCATTTTTTTTAATTAATTTAATTATGTTATGTTTGATGCAGTTACACGGTTTCACTAGATATCTTTTTGAGCTGTCCATTCAATGTTATTTCTTTCGCTCACCATCCTTACTTAAATGAGAAGTCTATCATTTTAGGAGTGCTCTTTCAATAATTAGATTTCTACTAAATATGGTAATGTCTGGAGAAGGTGGATGGTGTATTTTTGAGTGATATGCCTCAATGAAAAATGTATCAACTTGGTTTAATTGTGCATGGAGTTACTTATAATTCCTCATGTACTACTTGAAATTTCATCCAGATTCTGTTTTGTGGCCATTAGGGAATCATTTTGCATTTCTTTATATCAATTTTAACAGTGATTTTTTTGGGGTAAAAATCTGCTTCTTGCTGTTTCTTTACCAACTTTCTTTTGTTTAATAGTGCATTTATCTATGTGCTGCTACTTTCACAAACAGGAGCTTGCTCTGCCTATTGTTGTGGAAGCTATAATTTGGAACTTGTTCTTTAGTTATTAAATTTTTTCCTTGCAAAATGATTTGTTTGGTCGAGGTATCTCTTTCCCCAGTCATTACGTATTTCTGTTTTGTGTGTTAATTCTCTTCTTACTTTGAAGTAAATAAGATAAACACTCTATTTGTGTACTTTTAGGGAACCATCTCATCTAAAAAGCTTTAACTACTAGAGATTTATTTATTTAAATTTAGTCTTCAACACTGTCCCTCACATGCCGGCCAAATTTATTTTTCTTTAAATGTTTGACATGTGCACTAGGTGGTGGCAAGATCTTAACTCAGGAACTTAACCAACTCGTTAAACCATATTTAAGTTGTTAGAAAGGGGCATATTTATTTATTTAAAATTTAGTCTTCAATAACATTGTAGTTGAACTTACACCTTTTCTCATTCTGTTCAGAACCACAAAAGTTTTCGAAAGATGGAAATGAAGAACACATGCAAGTGAATCATCTTGCTCCGGCACTGCTATCTATATTACTTTTGCCATCCCTTGTTAGAGGCTCCCCAAGCCGAATTATTAATGTGAACTCTATTGTAAGTTTTCTGAGCACTGTTATGTGTCTTGATGTATTGTACTTGTGCAAAAGTTATTTAGATTCATAGATTGAATTTCTTACATTTTATTAATCTTTCATAAGAATAACTCTGAATGGACAGGAATTTTTCTTCTATTTCTCCAAATTTTGAACGACCAATGTATTCGGTTGATGAGGCTGGGTACTTCTATGGACAACAGTGTCACTGAATTGTTGGTTTAGCAGGAACAAAAATTTGGTTTCCATGTTGATGAGAAAGTAATTTGCAAATTTTATGTATTACTAGTGAATATTTATAATTGGTAATTGGCTGAATCTATGGTGAAAATTATTCTAAAGTAAACATTTCTGGAGTCACGAGCTATGGCAGAAAATAAAGGGAACAGTTTTGCTGTCTTGTCTGTGGAAGCTCTTTTCCCTTCTCTCTCTCATTTTCTTTTTATTTATTTATTTTTTTAATTTTTTTTAATGCGCTACACAAGATTAAAAAAAAAAAAAAAAAAAAAAAAAAAAAAGAAAGAAAAAAGAAAAAAGAAAAAAGAAAAAAAGAAAAAGGATTGAATCACACATCCACCTTCACAACCTAAGATTCTCTTGTTTCCTTGTGCCTTATGGGAGATTATTTTGGGTAGGCGTGAGAAAATGCCTTCGTGACTAACAAGTAAAACCTCTTCTCCTCTTGTTTGTATGGAGAGGGTGATCATATGATTGCTGTGCAAAGGCCTGCACTTGTTTCTTCTTTTTGATAGAGAAATATACTTATCCACTCAAAGAAACTTTTACTAGAATTTTTCAGCTACCTTTACCCAAACTCAAACTAAGAAATATGCAGTGAGTTTGCCACAAACATCTATTGCTGAATTTTTTTTTTTTTTTGTATCTTTTTATAAATTCTTTAATTCAAAAGAATCCGAAGTTATAAGATAAGTCAATGGTAGTAAGTGAATATATTTTATCACACTCTAACCTTGGATTTTTTACTTATTAGAAATTAATGTACTGAAATCTGAACGTCTTTGGATGACCAAAGCCAAGTTGTTATGAGTCATCATGATGTGCTTTAATATTACACTCAATGTTTCTGTATTTATGTATTTTTTTTCTATTCAAACATCCAACAATCTTTTGCTAGAGTTGAATTTAGAGCACATTGCAGGGATCACAGTTAGTTATTTATTTCTTGCCATCCACTCTTCAGTGGGAAGTAAACATTTCATTTGTGTATTTGTAGATGCATTACGTAGGATTTGTTGACACAGAAGATATGAACGTTGTATCTGGGAAAAGAAAGTACACGAGTTTGGTGGGATACACAAGCAGTAAGCTGGCACAGGTGCACTCAAAATCTTGCTTTTAGTGTTTTAGTAGTTTTAAGCCTAGTCAGGCTTTTTAAAAAAATCCAGGTTCTCTTTATCTTTTATCTGACATGTGAATTTAATTTTTGCCAATTGGTAGATAGACACCGTCCAATGGTTTGTACAGCTTAGTGCTTGTTTAAGAAAAAAGTATAATGAGATATAATGAAAATGAGGAATGGTCCCCATGGAATGTGGTGGGTGAGAAGTGGGCAGTAGTTGTGAATTTGTGGTCAAAATTAATGTTTGTCTTTGACTTTAAATTATAAGGTGATTATAATGAAACCCAAACAAGCTTTTAATATGTTCTTTAATCTCAATTTATTCACTTTGCTTGAAGAAAAAAGCAGTGCAATCTGAAGATGAACAAGTAAATGGGATATTCAAATAAAATGTAGTTGCCACTTTATTATTGTATATAGTAGATGACTAATATCATCATTACGTTATTGAGAATCTAATACATAAGATTGAAGCGGGTTGAATGAAATGGAGGATTGCTGCAGAGATTCTATATAATTGAAATAACCCTATTATTAAGTTTAAAAGAATGTTATGCAGTATGGTTACTGCAGCAGCTATGCTTTTAGAGTGTTCCTTTATAGCGGACAAGCGTATATGAAATGAATATAACAGAAATGATGATATTAAGATGGATATCTGCTCCTATTCGAATGAATAAATAAATCATGAGGATCTATTCTAACAAAAGAATTATCTTTAGTTCTCTCTTTCCCCTTGTGGTTGCAATGCTGCAAGATGGCTATGATTTAAACTTCTTCGAGAAGCTGATTTTAATTTGGTCCGAGCAAGTCTAATGCATTAGTTGTTGCATATATAATTGACTTTGGCAAGGATAAAAGGGGTATGATCATGTGGAAAGTGATAGATTAGTTTTGCGTGATCTAACCAAAGAGAAACAAAAAGCTTTTTGAATGAAAAGAGCAAGATTTTTCTGACTTACGGGATAGATCAAGGTTTTTAGCATCCCTATGTATATCTACAATTGTTTATATTCTTGATTTCACTTTACGTTTGATTTAAGAGAAATCATTATCCTTTCAAAAGTTTTAGATCTTAGAAAAAATACTGTACAGGTGAAGGCACCACTAATTGAGGATAAATGAATAGAAGCACGATGGCTTAAATAGTTGGAGGATATCTTGCATGGACCTAAACAAATTCTCATTCGTAAGGGTGATGTGGTTCCAACAGAACATGATAGATGTGGTAGAGACAAAAATTAATGATGCTCTTTGATTGCAAAAAATGATTTTTTTGGACCTTGAGCTAGCACTAAATGTAGTGTTGATTCCAAATTTATTGGAAATAAAACTTGGCTTGTTATTGATTATGATGGTTAATATTATCATTACAGTGTTTTTGCCGTCTTACGAAGCTGAGGCATCGATGCATTTTTACTAGGTGTGGTAATCTGTCTATATTTATTGTCATTGCTATTTGGAGAAATAATTTATCCACTTTATGAATCCACCGATTGACAAGCTTGTTCTTGTATAATATTGAATCCATGTATAATTACTACTTATTGTTAATTGAGAAACAATTAATCCACTTTATTCCTCCCACCATTTCACAAACTTCTTCCTAGTAAAATTATTAAAGCAGATATATTCCCTCTTTTAGCCATGTTCATCTCAAATGTCTGTCACATGACATTAAAATGCCTGAACAATACCATAGCTCCAAATCAGATATTTCCATCAGGCTATTTCCCTCTTTTAGCTTTATTCTACTCAAATTAAAGTTTTTATGATTTGAACAAAATGGGATTTTTCCCATCTTTATTAAATAGAGGGCTCTAGACCAAACCAACATGTTTATTGGGAGTCGAGACACTCCAATTGTAAAACCAAAATCCAATTGTCTTTTGTGTGTGTTTGCACTTTTTCTTGTTTTCGTTCTCTTTATATGTTTGACAGTGCCAAAGCTACTTTCTGGAAGTAGAATATGCTACAATTTCTTTAGGCTATTATTAGTGGAGAAATGTATAGCGCTTTATGCTTCACGTGCTTTTAAAATATTTTAGTATAGAAATGCAAATAAATATTGAAGAGAATTGTTTTTTCTTACATCTTGTGAGTCCAAATATATATTACAACCGGGAACCAAAAAGGAATAATCAAACAAGGAAAAAATATATACTTTCCTAATCTAAATAAGGTACAACTATAATGATACAATCAAATATAATCTTTTCATATATATCAGGGTTTCTATACTCTTCCTCAAGTTAGATCGTAAATATTGATCATATCCAACTTGAATATGAAATTCTCGAAGTTTTGTCGAGACAGTCCTTTGGTGAAAATGTCTGCAATTTGTTCTATAGTAGGCACATAGGTCATGCATATAATTCTGTCTTCAACTTTTTCTTTAATGAAGTGTCTGTCAACTTCGACATGTTTGGTTCGATCATGTTGAACCGGATTGAGAGAGATATTGATCGTAGCTTTGTTGTCACAATAGAACTTGATTGGAAAATCTATCACAGCTTGTAATTCTTCCAAGTTTCTTTATCCACAGTCTTTCGCATATTCCTTGTGCGACAGCTCTAAACTCAGTCTCAGCACTGCTTCTGACTACCACACTCTGTTTCTTACTTCTCCACGTTACTAAATTTCCCCATACAAAGGTACAATACCCAGTAGTTGGTCTTTTTTCTTCTATGGATCCGGCTCAATCTGTATCAGTAAAAATTTCTACCTCCTTTCTTCCATTTTTCTTAAAGAAGAGTCCCTTTCCGGGGTTGCCTTTGAGATATCTGAGGATTCTGTATACAGCTTCTAGGTGAGTTTCTCTTGGAGAGTGCATATATTGACTTACCACACTTATTGCGAATGCAATGTCAAGTCTTATATGTGAGAGATAAATTAGTTTGTCCACTAGTCGCTGATATCTATCCTTTTCCATTAATGCACCCGTGTCTTCTACCCATTTTCCTGCTTCCATCGGTGTGTCACATGGTTTGCATCCAAGCATTCCTGTTTCGGTAAGAAGATCAAGAATATATTTACGTTGTGAAACACTAATCCCCTTCTTTGATCGGGCTACTTCCATTCCTAAGAAGTATCTCATCTGTCCGAGGTCTTTTACCTCAAACTCTGTTGCTAGGCTCTTCTTAAGTCTCTCCAGTTCCACTGTATTATCTCCAGTTAGTATTATGTCATCAACATATACAATTAAGATTGTCTTCATCCCAGTTTTAGATAGTTGATAAAACATGGTATGATCTGACTGTCCTTGTTGGTATCCTTGGTTTCTCAATACTCTTGCGAATCTGTCGAACCATGCTCTTGGTGACTGTTTGAGACCGTACAATGAGTTCTTGAGTTTACATACCTTACTTTCTTCACCCTTTTTACAGAAACCAGGAGGTAACATCATGAAGATTTCTTCTTCTAATTCCTCATTTAAGAATGCATTCTTAATATCAAGTTGTTTTAGAGGCCAATCCAAATTTGCTGCCAAGGATAAGATAACCCGAATCATGTTTAACTTCGCTATTGGGCCAAATGTTTCTGTATAGTCAATGCCATAAGTCTGTGTATATCCTTTTGCTACGAGATGGGCTTTGTATCGTTCTATCATTCCATCAGCTTCGTATTTCACGTTAAATACCCATTTGCAGCCTACAGGTCTTTTTCCCTTTGGTAACTCTCCCACGTCTCAAGTTTCATTTTTCTTCGCTGCTTGCATTTCTTTGAGGACTGTCTCTTTCCATTTGGGAATAGTCATGGCTTCTTGAATGTTTTTTGAAATTTCTGTTTTATCAAGATTAGAGGTAAAGGTGTTGAACCTGCAGATAGAGTGTTATAGGAAACAAATTTTGAGATTGGGTTTAGAGTACATGATCGAGGCTGTTTTATGAGAGCAATAGGTAGGTCACTGTCTGAAGGCTCCTGCCCATCTGGAACTATCATCGGTTTTGACTCTTTTGATGCCTCGGATGTGAGGTTCTCCTTGTGCATTGATTTTGGCTTCCTTGAATAAACTAATATCTCTTGGTTAACTTGCTTTTCTGCACCTCCCCCTGAGTTTAAGTTCCCTTCTGTAGATGGCATATTAGGGCAAGGAGGTATGACGGTATTTATGATTGGTTCAGTGGATGAGAGATCAAGGTTGAAAATTTGATCTTTTTGTACTAGACGATCTTCACTCAGATTCTCCTCCTGAAGAGAGGGCTTGAAGTGGGGGTGCTTTCGAAGAATGTGACATCAAGGCTGACAAATACCCTCCTTGAAGATGGATCATAGCATTTGTACCCTTTTTGGGTAGCAGAATATCCAATGAAGACATATTTTCGTGCACGGGGATCAAGCTTACTACGATGGTGGGGATGGACATGGATGAAAGCAATGCACCCAAAAATTCTGAGGGGTAAGCTTGAGTCAAGTTGAGAATTGAGAAAGAATTCCTGAAATTTTTTGAGGGGTGATTGAACGAGAGAATTCGGCTAGGCATTCTATTTATGAGATAAGCTGATGTTAAAATGGCATCTCCCCAAAATAGTTTGGGCATATATGTGGTAAACATCAAGGCACGTGCAACTTGAAGGAGGTCTATTTTTTCTTTCGGCAATTCCATTTTATTGAGGAGTATCAACACAAGTAATTTGGTGGACTATCCCTTGTGTTTGGAGATATTCATTCAAAGTAGTATTAAAGTATTCTGTGCCATTATCTGTTCGGAGGATTTGAATTTTTGTTTGGAATTGTGTCAGGATCATAGAATGGAAGTTTATAAATACAGTTTGGACCTCATATTTTTCTTTTAGCAGGTAAACCCAACATATTCGAGTATGATCGTCAATAAATGTGATGAACCATTTTTTTTGGGTTCGACTAGGAATTCGAGAAGGGCCCCATAAGTCACTATGAATTAACGTGAATGGTTTCGATGGTTTATATGTAGGTTTTGGAAAGGGGACACGATGATGTTTTGCTAATTCACAATTTTCACATCGAATGGCAGTTATTTTATTTGGAAATATGGAAGGTAATACATGTCGTAAATATTGAAAATTAGGATGACCCATTCTATAATGCTATAACAAAATTTCACTATCTCTAGGAGTAAAAGCAGAATCACACGTTACAATTTGATTTCGTTTACTCAAGTCCGCCTCTTCAAAATAGTAAAGTCCCTCACATTGCTTAGCACTACTAATCGTCTTTCCCGATGATAGTCCTGAAAGACACAATAAGATGAGAAAAATTTAGCTGAGCAATTGGAATGTTTTGTTAGTCGACTAATAGATAATAGATTACAAGATAAATTTGGAACATGTAGAACCGACTCAAGAGTTAGAATTAGAAATTTGGATACTCCCTTTTCCTGCCACAGGTGAGAGAGAGCCATCTGCAATTTTAACTTTGATATTGCCAGCACAAGTGGAGTATGCGAAGAAAAGATGATAAGAATTCGTCATGTGATCAGATGCACCAAAGTCAATAATCCAAGGAGTTTTGGGTTGGGTGGTTGTATGCAATGCTCTAAGAAAATTACCTTTTTGAGCTAGTGAACTTGATGCATTGGGTGTTTGAAAACTTGAAAACATTTTATACAGTTGCTCCATCTGCTCAAGATTAAACGCACCGGTCGAAGTGGAATTGTTGTTTTCTTCGACAGGGTCAATATATGCTTGGTAGCCACGATTTCTACTATTTTGTTTTGATTTCCAATTTGGTGGCTTCCCATGTAAATCCCAATATGTATCTTCTTTATGTCCTGGTTTATAGTAGTGATCACACTATGGTTGTCCCCTTTGTTTTGCTCCCGACCCATTTCCTTTAAAAGTTGGGCCCATTTCAGTAAGCCTAGCCCATTTGGATCCATTATTTGTCGGTTCAATAGAAGTTTGGGCTGACCCAGTTTTTTTATGTAAGTGGGCCGCCCCAGTAGGCCCAAATCCAACAGAGATAAGGGCTGAATTCACATCTTCCTCACCCAAACCATCCTTTCCATCTCGTAACATGACTCGCCGCCTCGTTTCTTCCCAGCGTACCACAGCAAACACCTCACGCAACGCCGGCAGTGGTCGTTGACTCAAGACTCGACCCCTGACATCATCCAACTCATGATTTAGTCCGGCCAAAAATTCACACTCTCTCATTCTCCACTTTCTTTTGGTATCGTACACTGTCTGCCGAACAATTCCATTTTTCCTTCAAATTTTGGTCGAGTTCTTGCCAAAGAGAACTCATTCCTCTCTCGTTGCATTGTTTGCCACATCCGAGTTTTAATTTCAAACATTTGAAAAGAATTCTCGGTGTCAGAGTACATATCGCGAACGGCCTCCCTCACGTCTTTAGCTGTCGGTAGGAAGAGATAAGTTTTTCCAATTGTTGGGTTCATGGAGTTAATCAACCACGCAGTCACCAACGAGTTCTCGGACCTCCATCTTTGCTGAAGAGTGGTGTCGGTTGAGGCAGGTTGTTTCTTTTTTCCGGTAAGATATCCCAGTCTACCCTTTCCGTCGATAATGAGCTTAATTGATTGAGCCCATTCTTGATAATTTTTTCCATTCAATCTCTCAACTGTGAGTTGGAATGAAGAATTATCCATTTCTCCTAAGCTCATGGTGGAATGAGATTCCGTCTCGCTGTTTTGAGGTTCAGATGTCATTGTATGGTTGTTGCTTTCTGATTGTTCTGCCATTGACGAGTTTTGGCAAGGTTAGGAAAGGCTCTGAGACGATATAGAAATGCAAATAAATATTGAAGAGAATTGTTTTTTCTTACATCGTGTGAGTCCAAATATATATTACAACCGGGAACTAAAAAGGAATAATCAAACAAGGAAAAAAATATATACTTTCCTAATCTAAATAAGGTACAACTATAATGATACAATCAAATATAATCTTTCCATATATATCAGGATTTCTACATTTAGTTATCATCATTTTCAATACCCAACAGCAAGTGTATATGATGATCTATAGCTTTTTTCTGTCATCAAATGTGGGGTGCAATTTTTCGAAAACTGCTTGTTATAATGGGGCATATGACTGCGGAGATTTTTGGCTAGACAGTAATGGTCCCATTTGCTTTTTTCTAACAGTAAACAAATGGATCTCAAAAAATTGAAAAAGAAAGCACGATTTTTGGGCTTTGTTTTTGAAAAATAAAAATGGTGAATTGGGGGGGGGGGGGGGGGGGGGGGGGGGGGGGGGGGGGGGGGGGGGGGGGGGGGGGGGGGGGGGGGGGGGGGGGGGGGGGGGGGGGGGGGGGGGGGGGGGGGGGGGGGGGGGGGGGGGTTGTAAACAAACAAGAACAGATAAAAGCCTACAGAAAGCTAAGAAATGAAAATTACTACTCTAGGGTAGCTACCAAACAGACCCCATATTTTCTAAAAAGTGAGGAATGAAAATCACTACTCTAGTGTAGCTACCAAACAGACCCCTGATTTTCTAAAATTGAAGAGTGGAAAACACAGTTGGACTTATATTAACTTGCTTACTTTCTTTAAGTACATGATATGTATGAAATAAGTATATGGTGTTTACAATTGCAGCCCTCTACTGTTGCACATGGAAATATTACAGGGGCCACTTCTGGGAATGTACTTTATTGATGGCTCTGTACCTGAAATGACCTCTCTTTTGGATAAACTGTTTTTGTCCGCATTTTAGGTAGCTGTGGCAGGACTATTCAATTGGCTTTGATTATTGATTCGTTGTTATTCTTTTCCATGACCTCTTGCTTTTGGTTCTTGGTTGGTCATTTTATTTGTGTTCAGTAATGTCTTGAAGCTATCTACATGCAGGTCATGTTCAGCAGTGTTCTTCATAAGCGTCTACCAGCTGAAGCTGGCATAAGTGTAGTATGTGTTTCTCCTGGAATTGTCCAAACCAATGTCGTAAGTTTCTGAATGCCTAGCTCTTTGTCTCAGTAGCTGGAATCATTCCATTGGTAAAACATAGCTGGGATCAATCTACATGTTTGTTTATTCTTAAGGGGCTTAAGATATGTCTGTGATACAAGGTTTCCAACACATGGGAATTGCCGAATTGGTGCAAATTAGAACACTGGGTTTCAATTAGTACTTCTGATGTATGAGGTTTTTCAAATAGATAATGATGTGTTTATTTTCCAAAAATTGTGATAATGTTGTAAAATGCAGGCCAGGGATCTTCCAAAGATTGTCCAAGCTGGTTATCATTTAATACCCTATTTTATATTCAGTGCTGAAGAAGGTTAGACTTCTGAAGTCTAGTATGTTTTCTTTTCTCTTAATTGTTGGAAATTTGTTTTTATTTGAGTCTCTAGAAATCATTTTCGTTTGTTTTTTTTATTATTATTTATTTATTTATTTGTTGCTTATTTAAATCTTAAAAACTTTCTCCAGTTAAAAAATTGTGACAAAGTATCAGAAAAATCCTGAAGTTTTTCCTACAATATAAAGTGAAACATAATCCTATTGTTCCTTTTGGCACCTGCAACTACCACTGATGAAGTCCGTGGCTGATTGAATAAGATAGAATATTAAATTTAGTTTTGAGCTTGTTTCACAGAATCCAGACAAGGCAATGCCCTTGGGCTTGTAATTAATCACAAATACACGAGGCTTCGGGCAATGAAATCATATATTCACTTGTTTGATTACACACACACACACACTCTCTCTCTCTCTCTCTCTCTCTCTCTCTCTCTCTCTCTCTATATATATATATATATATATATATATATTATATATATATATATATATATATATATATATATATATATATATATATATATATATATATATATATATATATATATATATATATATAATGTGGACTACCACGCCATAAGCCAGCCAATCCCATTTTTCTGGGCTTTTGCATCAGAACTTACATGTTCACCCAAACCGTTATGAATCTCTGTCATGATCGTTCCTCATTGTTGAGGTTTACTATACCGATAGAAAATTTCATTCAATCTGCTCCCTATCCCTTGAAACATTGAGAGGAAGCTACCCATCCAAATCCTTTCATGCACCGGACACAGTGCTGTAGACATAGCCCCAGAGTGACAGTATTCGACCTCAAACATAGGATCTGGGTCAATCTGACTGCATATTTTTAGGAGGTCAGCTCGTTCTTTGTATCACATATTCAGCACTGGGAGAAGCTGACACATTCCCAATGAGAAAAGAAAGAGGGCCAACTGTGTGTTGAAGCCTGAGAGAGACAGAAATATATTTGATCTTAAACATAAGAGATGCAGTAACGAAACTTCATAGTGGCAATATGTGACTATCTGGATATGATTGATGAATTTGTTATTTAATTTTGATTTTATGAAAAATAAATTTTCTGTTGAACTTGGTCTGAATTAGCTACTTTTGTAATCTGAGCCATTGCAGGTTCTAGAAGTACACTATTCGCAGCCACAGATCCCCAAGTTCCTGAATATTGTGAGATGTTGAAAGCGGATGAATGGCCAGTCTGTGCCTTCATATCTCAAGACTGTCGTCCCACAAACCCTTCTGAAGAATCGCATAATCTTGAAACATCATATAAAGTGTGGGAAAAGACACTTGAAATGGTGGGACTTCCCTCAGATGCGGTAGAGAGACTTATAGAAGGTGAAGAAGTTGAATGCAAATACGGAGCATCCCAGTAGGACGAATGCTACATGTACAAACTTGTGTTGATCCGCGTGAGATGGCATTGTAATCCACATATCGAATTGATCTTATCATTTCTCCTCACATCATGCATATAGCATTATACATCCCTGTAGTTTACTTTTCATACTAGAGTAGGAGCCCCCTAAAGCTAATCATTTTGTCTTTCTCAGTCATCTCATGATATAACCAAGGCACACATATGCATGGATTTTCATAATATATTGTATCACACTTCCACTTTTTCTCATTTGTACTCGGCATTCTTGTACGAGTTGCTTACTCTTACTTAACAGCACATCCTTTCAACATCTTCAAACACGAGGACCTTTTTTGTTGTTGTGCAATTTCTATAGATGGTCTTATTATTATTATTATTATACAACAAAATTCTCTTTAAAAAAATCCTAATTAATATTTTGCTGTCAATAATTACGAATATTTTTGCATTAGATTTCTGGCTTTTACCATATGAGTTTGCAGACAATTAAAATAAAAAATGCATTCGCGAACAATGATGGAACATTGGTTCGTTGAATTCCTAAATTCCGTCGTTGAAAGATTTGGTGACACAAATTTGCGGTAAAAAAACTTTGTAGTCATAGCTCCATTTATCAAAATAAATTAAGTTATTCAATAAAAACTCATTCTCAATCGCATTCTTTCAGTAAAATAATTTTACACGTAAATAAAAAAACTTTCCTTAATTTTTAACCACATATTCTTTAAAAAATCACTATTACAAAATTCTTTTTTTTTTTTTTTCCCGAAAATGGGGTAGGTAAGCTCTTTTTCCTAATAGGGGAAAATTCATAACCAAATGTTAAAAATATCAAACTCGTAAATTTATTTCAATGGAAAAGAATATACCATGTAATTTATCAATAAAACACAATTCATTTCAATAATCATTTAATTTTTCATACATATTTAATTGAATGAGCTAATCTAAGCAAATGTGTAGATGTGAAATTTCATTATGAAGAAAATTATTTACAACCAACTTGTATTTAAAATAAGAATGATTACCAATCATAATTGATCCAAGACGCCAATCTGTCCAAGCAAGCACTGGTTGTTAAAACATAAAACTTTGGAAGCGGAATTGGTGGACCAGTCTATTATTCGAAATATAGATAAATGATTTTTTATTTATGCTAATAATTAATTTATTTTTCCTTTTTTTTTCATATATAATTGAATATAATTCATGTAGAACACAAAGATGTGTACATATTTAAGTTAAGTTGTCAATCAACAATTGATAAACAATCTGAATTTTCAAACCTTGAAATGCAAATTTATTCAGCATTCATGTGAAGTCTCTGTATATACACAAAAAATAATTAAAAAGTTATAAGTTGTCTATAATTTGAATTTTAAACTAAAATTCTGAAGTCAAAGTTAAATAATAATTTTATTTTTCAAACATGAATTTACAAACATGTGAAATGCAAATTTCCTCTGTTTGGCCCCATTTCTTGGAAATGAAAATGAGTAAAATAGTGTTTTTTTTTAAAAATAAGTGGTTGAAAAAGAAGGAAAAATATTTTGTACACGTGTAATATTACTTTACGGAAGATTGTGTAGTTGAAAATATGAGAAAAAAATGAAAAGTAATGGAATTGAAATTAATGGGGGCCAAACGGGGACAATAAACATTTCTACGATTATATTTTTCTTGAGAAGTCATCTGTCTAGAATATTTGTGGATCAATGTATTATCCCAAATATAAAATAATTAATTAATTTTATTCTTTCAGAAAATATTTTGTAAATCATTGAATATATGATACAAACCAAAAGACATTCAAATTTAAGTTCTTTAGGCACTCATAAAAATATTGTACTTGGGCTTTGAGACAGTAAATAATAAATTCAATTTACCAACTATTATTGAACTAGATGAGTTGTTTGTGGGATTGTAAAGAAAATCAAGAACAAGATTTACATGGTTTGGTCATCATTGAACTACATCCACGGTGGAAACACCATGTTTTGTTGTGTCGTACCTATAGACTGTAGTTACAATCTGATAGAAATATTATTGAAATTGTGTTATTGTGTTGTGGATATATAGCCACCAAGTCCTACACGTATAGTTGATAGAAGATTAATTAATTAATATAAAGGAAGAGTAATGTGTGTTTTATTCGATGTGAGATTCATATAAGTTTCATTTCAAATAGGAATTAAATCATATTGTATATTAGACAATAATTTTTTAGTTAAGCAAATACAAATTGAAATAATCATGGAGTCTTCGATAGATTCAACAATCTTCTATTCTTCATTATTTTGTGATTTTTGTGGTATGTCTCACAATGCAGACTACACTGCAAAATTATAGTCATTGATTCGAGATATTGGTTCAAATATGTCCGATTTACTATTTCAAGGAAGTTAAAAATTTTATGCTGTTGATGTAGTAATAAAACTTTAATTATGATTCTCTCAAATGGACGGGAGATCAAAACGACACACGCACACACATTCAAGATAACATATTTACAATTCATCAACCATTAATGTCAATTATCAGATTATTTTTATAAGTATTTAATTGCAAAAACCAATCTGTCAAGCAAACAAGAATGATAAAAAAGTTGATTTTGAAGCAGAGTTGGTGGATCAATGTATTATTCAAAAATATAATATAATATTATAGTATTAAATAATATTCGATTCTAATAATTTATGTTTCATAATTGAATATAGTACATTAAGAGCGCATATGTGTACATATTTTATTTAAGTCACTCAACAACCGTTAAAAGTCTTCCTAACATTTCAAATGAACATTTATTCAACATTCACATGAATCATGTGAGTTAATATAATAAAATGTAATTAAAGACTATCTATTTTTCTAGTTTCAAATGAAAACAGTAAATACAAAGGCAAATCGTATTTGAGAAAAATCTTCAGTGGGGTGGGCGCACCATGTCGAGGCGCCACCTCGACGATGGCCCACACACCTGGGCCACCTGTCGAGGTGGCGCACCCTACGGTACGACCACCATACTGAGTTTTTATTAGCTCATTCATAAGTATTTTATTTAAGATTTTCAGTAGAAACAAGAAATAGACAGCAAGCATCTTGCATTTAAGAATGTCACATATTTTTCTATCAATTCCATGTCCCTCCTTGTAATTTAAGTCAGCTTGATTAAAAACAATAATAATATATTATTGTTTTATTCACTTAATTATTTTAGTTAATATACGGCTGTTATGTTCACAAGTAATAAATTGACTTGCTACTTGTGCTTTAAATGAAAGAATTAGTATACTTATGTTTAGATTATTTAATAATATATTTGGTGGATCCACTTATTATTCAAAATATAAAAATAAATATACCTATTTATGATGAAAACATGTCGATCGCATCTATATCATGTCTTCTATTGCTACACAAACAGCTCATAAATTTGTTGGAAATTATTGTTAAACAGCTCAAATTTATTTTTTATTTTCTTTTATTTTTCGACCAAGGCGTTTACACTTTTGAAGGACCCAAAAAAATATAAAAATTGATTAATTAAAAATAATATATATATATATATATATATTTCCAATATTTACAATAGTTGGCCTATATAATCCCATGCTGACCAGCATCCGTTTCTACCCTAGAAAGAAGTTCATATTATCATATTCTCTCTTTTTTCAACTATATTCCCATGGTAGAAGAGATGATTGTGGGCTTCGAGGACAGGACAGAAGAAATTGCAAGAAAGCTTCTTGGAGGACCAAAATATCGCCAGGTTATTTCCATCGTTGGAATGGGTGGAATTGGCAAGACAACTTTAGCAAAGAAAATATACAACAATTCCAATGTTCGGTATTATTTTGATTGGATTTCTTGGTGCGTTGTTTCTCAAACTTATAAAAAGAAAAAGTTGTTGGTTGACATTTTGAGCTCTGCTAATAACCTTAAAAGAGACAAAATTTCTGAATGGAAAAAACGAGCGCTGGCCAAAATTTCCGAATGGAAAAAACGAGCGCTGGCCGAACACCTTTATAAAAATCTAAGGGGAAGAAGATACCTCATTGTTATGGATGATTTATGGGATAAAAAAGCATGGGATGATTTGCAAAGGTCATTTCCAGAGGATGAAAACGGAAGCAGAGTATTGTTAACCAGTCGGCTGAAGAATGTGGCGGAGGAATTTCAAAAGTTATCGTTGAACCTCAATCCCTATCACCAGGTGAAAGTTGGACTTTGTTAGAGCAGAAGCTATTTAAGAAAGAACGTTGCCCTCAAGAGTTGCAAGATATTGGAAAGCAAATTGCAGAAAATTGTCATGGACTTCCGCTTTCAGTCGTCACGGTTGCTGGAGTTCTTTCAAACATGGAGAAGAAAGAAAGCTTATGGCAACAAGTCGCAGAAAGATTAAGTTCTTACATATCCCAAAATGCCGACGACTACATTCCTTCATTGAAACTTAGTTACACGCATTTACCAAATCACTTGAAGCCATGTTTCCTTTATCTTAGTGCATTCCACAAAGGTGAGGAAATTCCAGTTCGGAAGCTATTGTTACTATGGATAGCGGACGGATTCATAGAGAAAAAGGAGCACGAGATCTTAGAAGATGAAACACAGGAGTATCTAACGGAACTTATTAACAGGAGCCTGCTGCAAGTTTCCGTTAGAAGATCTGACAATGGAGTAAAAGCATGTATTGTTCACGATCTAGTACTTGATATGTGCTGGAAAACAGCTGAAGAAGAAATTTTTTTTGTTTCAACAGTAAGTTAACTCATTCTCTTTCTAATTCCTTCTCGTTTTACTTCTCTATTCCAATTTAGCCTACTAATACTAACAATGGGTGGTAATTTGTGGTCACTATGTCAATGATGCTGGTGTTGCTGATGCTGGTTGAACTGATCTCCTCCATGTTCTTGTTATTCTACTTATGTAGTCAATTCTTGATATCTAAGCATTTCCATGGCTTGAGTGTGGATCAGTCTCATCATCTCCCCAAGGCCTTGTTGATTCTTTACGAATCAGAAAAAAATAGGGTCTTCGAATCAACTGGATATGATATTGGGAGAATAAAAAATATGTCTGACTTAAGTTACTTGGATATTGCAATCCTAGAGTCATCAATAGCTAGACTCCAGAACCTAGAAGTTCTTCTTGTCCATGTTCTAAATGATGATATACCAACTTACCTTCTCAATATGCCTATGTTGAGACATCTACGTGTTGGATCCTCAGATATCCCCGCAAGATTCAGTAAGAATTGTGATAGGTCCCGAACAAATAGCCTACAAACCCTCTATTATGTTTGTATTTATGATTCAGAAGACGAAGAAATCATCAGACGTTCCCCAAATCTTCGTAGGCTTAAATGCCAATCCCCATGCAATCGATGTCCTGATCTCAACTTTCTTTCTCAGCTTGAATCACTCACGATATATGGAAGTGCATTCGAAGGTAATTGCTCGGTTAATTTTCCCAAGAACATAAAAAAGCTTACTCTTTCAGGAATCAGTTTGCCGTGGGAAAATATGTCATTAATTGCGACATTGCCCTTCTTGGAGATTCTGAAACTAGAATGCGAAGCATTTATAGGAGAAATCTGGGACACCAAGGATGATGAGTTCCAAAAACTCAAGTTCCTTAAATTATATCGCATATATATTGAACAATGGAATTCCTCGCGCTATCATTTTCCAGTACTTACACGATTGGTGTTGCGATCTTGCACAAATTTGGAGACGATTCCCTCTGAATTTAGCTTTATTTCAACATTACAGAAGATTGAGGTGGACGATTGTAGCATAAATGTAAAAAATTCAGCTTTGCAAATTCATGACGAACAAAAGGATTATAGTAACGAAGAGTTTGACGTGACCATCTATAGTGTTTGGGAGTGAAGACAACATTGTTCAATTGTTGTTCACGATGTAAGTCAAAACTCATATCATATATTTTTTTTATTCTGACATAAAATCCTTTTATGTATATTTATTTATTTATTTTCTAGCAGGAGAATCCTTGACATTCCACACCGACATGGTGAGAAAAGATATAATTTTCGGCTCTATGTCAGTTGTTAGTTGTTCTTATTCATAGTATTTTCCTTGAAGTGAACATGAAGTTACGACTTCTTTATAGCGAGTAAAATTAAACAATGGCTCAATTGCAAATTATACTATATTATGGTTAATTTGACAACTGGTCGGATCTAAATCTTAGCCTCGAATTTTATTCCTTGTAATTTTTTTTTTCCCGTGTATTTCTCTGCGACTGTATTTTTCTACATCAACCATTATGAGTATTCCCAAGTGTGAAATGAAATTCATTTGTTTTCATTCAACTAATTTATGTTTTTGAATCTTTCCCCGTCTACACTCAGAAAACTATGAAAATCAGTGATTAAATATAATGTGCTCGTTCTAGCATGGTTTCGTAGATAATGTCCAGAACTTAGGGCCTCTTTCTTTCGAGTTTTGACAATGTTAAAAGCTTTATTTTCGATGATTGTTTCGCACCTTTGCGACGTGCCACGTGACAATGTGTGACTCGATCAAACTAGGCCATAAAAAATGGCTTTCCGATCCAAGTAGATTAGGTTTAACTCCAAGTAATCTACTTTTGAAACCTAGTTTCCGGTCTTATTTCATAATGCTAGTTTGGAATGTGACTCCATGTTATAGTAATGGCAGAGAAATAAGAACTACTTACTTTGTCGAGTTTTTCAAATTAAGTTATCTTGCATTTTTTATAATTCTTTATTTACCCACAGTTAGTTGCATGGCTTGATAAAAAGAAAAAGAAAGGAGAAAAAATGGAAGTCGAGTCGTTAGCTATTCTAAATTATCTAATTCAAATATTTCAAAATGTTCAATACAAAGTGAACACAAATAGAACATCACGTGCGAACTTCATGGCTAGCAAAATTGCCAGACGTAAAAGGATGGGGTAACCAGCTTAATTTGAGATTGTAATGGTGTAATCCATGTTAGAAATTGATTTAAAATTGAGATATTTGGTTAAGTATAAAAGTCAAAAGTGACTTTCGTGTCAAATTCGGCCAAATATTCGTACTTGATCCGATAGTCAAATTATGAATATAAATAGACTAACTTGTTCTGCTCGTTGAGTAGATCATCGTGGTATATTTGAAAACTCAAACCAATTCCGGATGAATGAAAAATTGCAGTCCAAATTTGAAAGAAAAATAGAGGAAAAATTGGTCTGAATTTTTGCCTAACTTCGTTTCTCACCTATAGCTTGAGTGATGAGGCTACGCTCGAGTGACATTCTAGCAACAGGCAGGCGAAAAAGGTTCTGTTAAAATTTTGACATTGACGCTCGAGCAAGAGGTCAGCGACAGCAAGTGATATTTTTGTTTATAAAGTTACGAGGCTTGGTACGCAACACTTCACTCACAACCCCTCATCCTTTATAAATAGGTCTCTTTGGATGTCCATTATATATCTCATATCACTTTTGTACTGAGCATTACATAAAATCTCTTGCAAAACTTTTTAAATTCATTCCAAAATCATTTCTTCTTATAGAGGGAGGTTCATTTCAAAGTTCTCTGTAACTTGTGGTTTGAATTGCTTCTATCACTAGTTGAATCTGTTGTATTTTGGTAGACAAGTGCCATAAACGTAAGCATCGTTACGGGGCAAATTTGTCTTAAATAAAGAGTGATTTTTCACTTGCCTCGGATTTTCCTTCTTCTTCATGTCTTGTTTCTTTATGGTTTGTATACCATAACGTTCTTTTCCATATATAGTTGTGTTTAATTACGCTCCCGCGAATTAAACTTTGATATTTTATTTATCACGTAGCAAACCTTTCATTACCAGAACAACAATCAAACAACAGATGGATCTAAGACGTAAGCGCCCTAATAGTGCTTGTAAATATACAGGCTTTAAGCTGCCAAATTCATCTTTGTTCTTGGGGGCAATGTAGAAACAAATTTAAGGTACAGATCCCTTAATAGTTTCGAGTGAAGCTGCTGAAAACCAAGAACCTTTAACATATGTAGAAGCCATTAGTTGTTTTGTATCAATTCGGTGGCTGCAAACTATGAGGGAAGAAATGGATTCTATAGTAAAGAATAAGACTTAGAAACTTGTGAATAGAGCTGAATAAAAGATAAAATAAATCAGCGCTGACGAACAACGCAATGAAAGCAGGAATACGTCAATCTAGCGATCAGTCACCGGGGTTGAAGAAGCAAACGCAGCCCGATTATGGGCTACTATTGTTCGAAAAATAAATTGAATGATGACTTTAAAAGAAAAAACAAACTTGCCAGATGAAATGGATGCAAAAGTCGAGGTAAGAGTTGAATTCTTTGTCTTAGGGCGATGAAAACATAGCTTTAGAGTCTCTGTACTATAATCACCGAATAGATAAAAGAAAAAGAGAGAATAATGCTAAATGGTTGCCATCTGGACAACAATGGCCACCATTATTTTATTTGAATACAAATATATGTTGTTCCTTCGACACACAAACAAGAATCAGGCCAAAATTAACACAATCTTATATCAGGAAGAGTGAAACAGCAAAGACCTAGTCACAGAGAGTTCCAAAAGCTCAAATTCTATAAATTAGTTACCCTAGACATTGAGCAATGGAATTTCTCACACGATCACGCACTTGAACGATTGGTGTTACCTGTCGCTATAATTCGGAAATGGTCTCTTCTGAATTTAGCAATATTCCAACATTTTAGAAAATTGAGGTAGATAATTGTGGCGGAAATGTCTAAAATTCAGCTTTGCAAATTCATGACAACAAGTGGAGAATGTTAAGAATAGTTTCTCGTTTTGATCTTGAATAAAGAGAGCCTCTATTCTACCCGTTGTACACCCAAATAAGTCAAAACTCAACTTAGAATTCTTTTTCCTTGACAAAAAACCTTTTATTTTTTATTTGAATAAATTATTTTTTTATTTCCTAGTAAGAGATTCCTTGGCATCCCACGTGGTGAGAAAAGATATATTTTTCCGGCTCTATATTGATTGCTAGTTGTTCCATTCCTTTTATTGAAAGTGAAGTTGCATTTTTTTTTTCGTTGAGAGTAAAATTAAATAATGGCCTGATTTCCAATTGTTACAAGAAAATGTCCAAATCGACTCAATAAAGACAGAAAAACTCTCAGACACAAAGGCATCAAGATTTCATCGATTAGGGCTCAGATCTTAGCATTGTACCCGTCTGTACGACGTGAAACTCATAAACCACAGTCCCAAAACCACAAAATACAGAGGCAGTCACTTCAATGAACCAAGAACACTCAAGACCGAACTGGAAACTCTCAACAAAGCTCAACTGAACAGTCACACAGACTGTAGGAACACACAGAGGCCACAAACCAGTAGTTTTAATGGCGTAATCTCAAGATTCACAGAGAAGGAGAAGAAGCAGAAGACATACAGTCACGAAGAGAGATACCCAGAAGGTTCGAGAGAAAATCACGAAGAGGCAGAGAGAATATGACTCGAATTAGGGCCAAACGAGTCTCAGCCCTCGTTTATATATAATGGGTAGTCACCGTAGATTGTAGGTTAAGTTGATCAAACGGTCCAGAGCGACTTGCATGGTTTAATTGGTTTGGGCCGGGTTTCAGCTGGTTTCAACATTGAGTTATTGGGCAATGGGCTGGGTAGTATCTGTTGGACCTTATAATATCATCATTGCCCCAAATGGGCTGGACACACAAAAGCTAATTTGGCATCATAGCCCAATAAATCTCCCCCTTGATGCCAATGATCCAAACTCACAAGGAAAAAAAAAATAATAACAAAAGACTTTCAAGCAGTTGATATAATTCTTTCCAGATCACTAGCACCAAGTCAAATACACCTGCACAAACATAAAGTTTACCCAGTATCAATTCTTAAGAGTTGCAAACATGACTTAAACTTATTTAGAGGAAGTACCTTAGTACCCATATCAACTGGGTTAAACTGGGAAGGGATTTTCTCAAGCAAAATAGATTCTTTTTCAACAATATCTCTAATAAAATGCATTCTCACATCTATGTGTTTAGTTCTTTCATGAAAAATTGGATTTTCACATAAATGTATAGCACTTTGACTATCAGAGTAAACAACAACAGGTTCAACAAATTCATTTACCTCACTTAGAAGACCTTTCAGCCGTAAGGCCTCTTTGATGGCCTCAGTTGCAGCCACACATTCTGTTTTAGTAGTTGATAAGGCTACAATTGATTGCGATTGAGACTTCCAACTTATGCAAGTATCACACAAAGTAAACACATAGGCAGTAGTTGATTTCCTGTTATCTCTATCACCAGCATAGTCAGAATCTACGTATCCCTTTAAACTAACTCCCTCTTTACTAGATCTAAAACATAAGCCTAAGTCTGCTGAGCCTTTCAAGTACCTTAACAACCATTTCATTGCATTCCAATGTTTTGGGCCAGGGTTGGACATAAATCTACTTAAGGTACTTATAGTATGTGCAACATCGGGTCGTGTACAAACCATGGTGTACATTACAGAACCAACAGCATTTGAATATGTCACCTTTTCCATATATTTAAGGTCAGATTCATCATGCGGAGACTGATCTTTACTCAACTTAAAATGACATGCAAGGGGTAATGTCACATATTTAGAATCATGCATAGCAAACTTGGATAGGACCTTTTTCACATAATCAGTTTGTGACAACATTAATAACTGTTGAAACCTATTCCTTTTAATATCCATCCCTAAAATCCTTTTAGCATGCTCAAGGTCCTTCATCTCAAATTCAGCACTTAGCTTATTTTTAATCTCATTAATATCACTTATTTTCTGGCCAATTAACAATATATCATTCACATATAACAACAAATAAACAGTCACACAGTTGCTGTTACCCCTTTTAAAATACAAGCAATGGTCAAATGAACTTCTCATAAAGCCAACTGAAGACACAAAGTTATCAAAACGTTTATACCATTGCCTAGGGGATTGTTTTAGGCCATAAAGTGATCTTTTTAACAGGCATACATGATTAGATTTTTTATTATCAATGAAACTTTGTGGGTGTCTCATATATATGGTTTCATCAAGGTCCATGCAAAAACGCAGTTTTAACATCCATTTGCTCTAATTCATAATCATAATGTGCAACTAATGCAAGCATGACTCTAATAGTAGTATATTTCACTACAGGAGAAAAGATTTCATTATAATCAATACCAGGTTTTTGGGTAAACCCCTTAGCCACTAATCTGGCCTT